TGTGTAGTGTGTACAGAGGGTGTGTCGATTAAAGCATCAGTGCATGTACATGTGTGTGTGTAGCTGTATCTGTGTGTGTGTTTAACAGTTTACAGATACAGCAGCATGGGCGTAGTCTTCATTCAAAAAGACATGTTTGTTTGCATATTGATCTGTTTAATTGCTACACCTTTTCAGCAAATGAGGACTGTGGTAAAAAATATGATGCAGTCAGAGCTTTACAGAGAGTAAATACGCACCATGAGTGACAACACACTGTCTGCATCATTTAAAGTGTGACTTTCATAAGTCCTGCCCCACTTCCGTTCCGCTGTAGCTTCTGCTCCACTTAACTTTAGTGTCTTACATCAGGCTTTACAGAAGCTGAGGCTGGAGTGTTCTCTACAGCTTTAACAAAACTCAAGCTCCTATTTTATTAAAAAATGGGGAGAAAAAAAATGAAAACATTTGTGTGTGTCAAAGGTAATTTTGCAAATTTAAATAGAGCTGTGAAAAACAAAAGACGCCCAAACTTTAAAACTTCACAGTAACAGTAAACACGGCAACATGCTGCATAGTTTATCTGCCATCTTACTCTCAGAATAACCGGCAATTTAAAGCTGTGGACTGGTAAAAGTTTTTAGGCCTGCCACTAACAATGAAGCTGCTTTCCATGTAAGAAAAGAAAAACAAAAGAGTGAAATTACACTCCAAACAGCCAAACAGTATTTTTAAAATTTTTGTTGTGATATCAAAGATGGCCGAAAATCGTAACTTTTAGGCGCAGGAACATTCAAAATGTTTAATGATTAATAAACAATGGAAATATTTAACTTTTACCCTGACCAAAATAGCAGTGTTTTACTTTTCTGTAGCTGTTGTAATATCAAGTTCATATTTTCATTAAATCGATCATTAGGATCATTTGAACCGGCGTCTAAATCGATGCCATGATTCTTACTGATGCACACAATTTCAGTTTAACACTATTTAACCAAACTAGTTAGTTTTCACTTACATGCAAGTCTATCAAGATCTGTTTAGGTTTAAACTACTCTCATGTGGATTTTTAAAGAGAAGCAAACGACTGACTGTCACCCGAAGTAAGTCACTGGTGGCTTAATTTTTTATTCCACAGAGCTCAACTGAAATCTTACAGAAAGAAAAAAGGTGCTGATGCCAATCTATGGCAGGTGTCCTTTTGTGAGAAGTTAAGTAAAGCTATGGCAACGCTGGCAGCGCCTGCAGTGTGTGTCTTCTAACCTTGGAAAGATGCCCACCAGTGAAAAGATCAGCCAAACAGTGTCTATATATGGCTCTGTTCAGATTCTAACCCCTACCAGTTAAGCGTGAACTGACTTCATATAATCCAAAAGCTAACAGCAGAAGCACGTATTAATGAAAACAAAGGTGAATTCAGTGGTGAAGAATACAAATGCAGCTACATTTGAATACAGAGCATAAACTTTATCTGGGGTTAATCTATTCAAGGGGAGCACATTTGTGTCACACACAAACTTTCATTTTTAAAAAGCACGCATGAAATTTTATCATTTAAAAAAATCTCTTTTTGTAGATCTAGCAGTGCTGGTGCTACATTTAACTCTGAATCTATGAATTTCCTATTAGGGTTTCAAATCCTTTATTAATAATATCCCCAAACAATATCCGTGCAGTGTCGTTTCCTTTGGAAAATGCCACACAATGTGTATCCCTGCGCCAAGCTGCCATTAGAAGAAGGCTAAAAACGATTTTCCCTGTAAAGCCAGCTGAAAACAACATGGCTAATATGCAGTACACTTTGTACAACTTTTCCTGTCGTGCCCTTTTTTTCTGCTCTGTCTCTCTGCCAGTTTTACTGTCGAGCTCACTTTGTTTTTCGTTCTTTCTTATTCTCACAGTATCACTCCTCTTCTCTCTCTCCCTCTCCTCTCTCCTACATACCTCCCACACAAGCGAGCATGCTTTATTTGTTTCTGCACGTTTGCCTCTTGCACACACTCACCAGGTTTCCTTAAAACTGTACGGATCAGGAACTGTGACAAAAACATGAATAACCCACACGTTTGACATATCTGCGCCATGAAGAGCTTCTGTCGCTTTCTCTGCCTGGATAAAACCAAAAACAATGACCGGAAATATGCAAAGAGCAATACAAACAATATTCAAATCCACAAGCCAAGATCACTTAAACAAATCGTTTGTAATGCGAGTCGGCTGGTGAGAGCTAGGATATTGGTTTCGGGTGGGGTCATTCGTTAAATATGCAAGAAAAAAGAACGCATTTGCAAGTGAAAAATCTTTGGTCAATCTACTATCTCATCGATTTCATGCGGTAATATGGCTATACACTGAATATTTCAGTAGTTTTTCTGTTGCTGTTTTTAATATAAGCACTTCTTTCTGAAAGCCAGAAACCGATTTTTTAGCACTTATTAAGTGCTAAACAAGAGCCAGCTCTGGGACTGGCACACTGTGTAAGAAACATTAAAAGCAGTTATACAATCCTTCGTTAAGTCGTGTTTCAAAGCAGAAGTGAGATGGCCTTGTGAACCTTTGCTGGCTACAAATAAAAACACATCCGCCCACCCACCTACACACACACTACATACCCAATCAGGCCTCAGCCTCCTCTCTGAACTGCATCCAAGTGCAGGAAAAGCCTAAGTGTGTGTGACTAGCAACTTCTCCAGCTTTCCCTCATTTTGATCCCCCCCGCACACACACGCAAACACACAGACACAGGTTGGGGCACAGAGGTAGCTTTGTTATCGTGAATGTCAAAAAATTACTCAGGCAGCGAGCACAGGCCAATTGATACAGAAGCACAGGGCAACATGCACAGGCACATTGAGGTGCACAAAATGAGCCATACAATGAGAGGCTTCTGGTTTAAGGTCGCACTCACGGGCCCCTTTGCTTTCATATAGGCATATTTTAATTGCACTGCAACACCCGAGTTATAAAGTTGCCTTTGGGCGAAGCCAAATGCACAGTCAGCAATGATGATGTTTTCTTCTTTTGATGACTAACGCTGATCCAATGTGCCATTTTTTCTGTTACTGTATTGTGAATGTAGTGATTGCATCATTCGGTGGGAGCCGATTATGATTGGTGTACGCAGTGATTGTTTACTACAGGCTTGTAAAAAGATTTGGGGGAAAAGCACACTGATAAGCATCATTTTTCAGGACAGTTGCCATTAGAGAGTCTCGCAGAGACAAACTCCTTCCAGGAAAAGATAAGCTACAACATCACATCAGCAGGTTTAGTGTTTCGTAACCTGTTGGACTTCCATTAAAAAAGAAGGAAAAGGAAACTACATGGTGGAGCAGATGCTCACATGCTAATATTAAAAAAGTAGTATGCTTACAGTGTTTCCATTCATACAGAGGACTGTATTTATTTTACTAAAGTCTCAAATCTGAAAAAATTTCACAGCAACCAGCTTGATGCTTGATCTGAAAAAACAAACAAACCCCAAAACAAAACAACAAAAACAACAAAAAAAGCAGACCAATAGATACACCCAGCATTACCACAGTGCTACTCCTGGCATGGCTTAAAAATATTTAGAGATTTGTTGATACAGTCTCATTATTTTATTAGTGACAGTCATTTATCAGAAATGTTACAAAAACTTTAGCTTTTCCATTATTTTCAATTTTTTTTAAATTAAATGTTCATATTATTCACACAACTTAAAATTCAGTGCTTAACGTGATTTAAAAAAATCTCTGCTCCCCTGCAAGAAGCCAAAAAGGGACAAAATAGTTATTTCTTTTATTTATAGTTATTTACCTAATTAGTTTGAACTTGTCAGAAAACTACGAGTCTTTGTTCTCATTCTGCAATTCTTAATGACCGTGCCAGTTTCTTTCATAGTTTCTCGTCTATTACAGTGTGTGCGTTTCATGTGTGTGTGAGGGGGCAAGCAGAAACAGGGTGAAGAGAAGAAAGCAACAACGGAGCTAATCAGAAATTGTCGACTCTGACCACAATAATTGTTGCTGAACAAGTTTTAATTAGCCTAAAGCCAAAGCGGCGCCAACCCCAAACATCTGTAAGTCTGATGGGAGTGAAGCTGACCACACATGACGCTTAACAGCAGCTTAATTTCAAAAGCTCAAAAGTTCAAAGACAATCTGTTAAAAGAAAGGTGTGCAGAGTTAGCGCCATTGCAAACCATTTACTCTCAACAAAAGTAAGAAACCGAGGGCAGGGGGATACTACATTTTACCTACATTTTCTCAACAAAGTTTGGCATGCTACAACTACACCACCAGTTTGTCAGTCAACAGCTCATAATCCTACATCCTACAGTATCCTTTCCTCCTCATCAGTAAGTTTTGCATTTTTTGTCATCGTCACTTACTGATACAGCTATATATAGTTGTTGAGAAAAGTGCAAACTTTCCAGCTTAGCTCATCCAACGGGAATGGTTGTGAGACCCTGACATGAAAGAATGCTGTGGTTATGAGCTAGTTAAGATCATACTCCACTGTGAGGTCAACAACACAACTTCCATAAAACTTACAACACCATCTTACAACATGCCAGGCAAGTCTTTTGGTTTCCTTTTGTGCATACAGCTTCTGTATGCAGCGCTACATGAATGGACAATCTCTGTGGTCAGACCTTCAGTTCACAGATCACACTTCAATTTTAGCGCTCAAGATGTTTGTTCCATTATGATGCATTAGCTAGGAAACTCAAGCTCTTTGAAGCATGCTTCAAATGACCAAAACCAGCGAGCCTCTGAATGGTTGGAAAGTCATTAAAATGATGGCGCCACTTGTATTAATTGTGATATGGCTGTAAGTATGTTGGTTCTTTGAGAGGAAGAACATTATTATCTGTTCCCTAGCTTTCAAGAAGAACCCATCCCTGACATTTCCTGTGTGCATTTCATGCGACAATCTTATTAGAAGTTTCCAATTAAATCAGGTCCACTGAATAGCCAGCAGGCTGTAGATACAGTGACAAACAAGCTCAAATCTCAGATTTTGAATCCACTTACTGCTTTCTGCTGAGAACTGAGGAATGCAGGGTTGAGAAGCTGTTCTCCTTTCTCCGTATCACTGGAAATATCCTCCTCCGACTCCTCCCACGAAGAGGAGAAACCGGCTGAGGAGGCAGAGGACGATGACAGCTTCCTGAGAGAACGAGTGGAGTTTGGCACGGGGCTAGAACTGGGGCTAGGCGAGCAGCTTCGCCCCTGGTCTGAGCAGGAGCCTTCAGAAGTTTGAGGCTGGTTTTCCAAACCGTGGTCAGTTACTATGACGGCAGGGATGGAAGAGTGGTTTGAGGTGTGCTCGGTCATGTCGAGCAAACAAGGGGTGCTCTCGCTGCTTTGTGCCTGGGACATTTCAGGATTAACCTCCAACGTGTGTCCTTCTGGCTGGAGCAGCATTTTAGTACACAACAGGTCCTCTTTCTGATCCATCAGATCTCTTTCATCTCCGAACAGTTGCTTGCTCTCTGTTTCCATGTCCCTCAGTACTTGTCCCTCTTTTTTCTCTGTGTCTGTCATTCGATCTTTATCAAATGTCTCAAGAAAACCTTTATCAAACAGTCCATCTAAACAGGGAGTTTGCTTTAATGTTTCTGAAAGGCAGTCATTTTGTTTAATCAGTGTCTTGTTGTCTGTATTTGATTTAGTGCTGCTGCTGTCCCTCTCACCATCACTCTTTCCTCCTTCGCTTCTTTCTCCTTCCTTTGTTTCTTCATCCCTTTCTCTCCCATTTTGGACAACAGAGGGGGCTTTAATTTCTTGTGGGTGAGTCATTAGGTGATCCAGAGCTGTGTTTCCTTTGCCAGGATCAGAAGGAGTTTGTTGAGTCACTCGTCTGGGAGACCGAGGGCTGCGCTGGAGCTCACTATTAAGTACCTGGGCACGGATCCCGGAAATGTGGGCCTCAAAAATGCCAACTTTTCCCCTCACCTGCACAGAGAGAACATTGAAACTACGGTTTGATTTTTTTTGGTCTTACTGCAGAGAATTATGCTTTGATGCATATTTTTGTTTTCAATATTTGGTTTAAATAGTTTAGGATTTCACAGGTGTAGCAGAGCTTTAGAAAATGTCAGAAAAATAAACAGAGAAGAAGTAATTGAAAAAATATCATGACAAAAAACACCAATATTAAGAAAACACAGCAGGAATGGCCCACGGCGCTCAAATTTTCCATCGCCTGGCATTAAACAGAGTACTTGAAAAATGGGCCACTGGCACGCTACAACTTCAGTGTGTGACTGTCTGCAGTTTCACAGTCAGTTCTAAAGTATGTTGGCATTCCCCTCAGTAAGAATAAGGAGAAAGAGGGTGAGGGAGCATAAATGTCAGGATGAATTTAAACCAACAAAAGTACTTTTGTTAAATTTGTATTGAAATCAAACTGAAAGAAATCTAATTCTGGTCCCTCTTTTGTTTAATCAGTGCATAGCAACCTCTAAAGAAGCCAAGTTGAGTTAACTCACAAGATTCAACATATTATAGAGTGCCTATTTTCTTTAATAGTTTATGCATGATGAAAACCATTAAAAGTCTTAAATGGAAGTGGATTATATTACATAAAAGCTGTATTTGTTTTAGTAAATCCCACTAAGTTTTGCAACTTCTGTTTTCAGGAAGACCTGATGAAAAATCCTGTAACTGTTTTATTGAATGACATGCAGACAGCTTTTCTATATACATAAAAACACAAGAAAGAAACAGCTGAAAATGCATGTGGCCTACCTTTTACTTTTCATCATCATCACCTACAGCTGTGTAAGAGTAGCTATGGTGGCATTGACGTGACTGCCCCAGCAAATCAAATTAAACCAGGAAATCCTTCTATTTTTTATTTAATTGCTTTGTTGCATAACTGCATTTTTTGGATGCAGACAGAAATGGTGGTAGATGTAGCAAGTATTTTTAAAAAGCTGATAAAACATGCTGAGAATGAGGATGGACATAATTGAAAAGCACAGGTCTGATCACCTCAACGTTCTGCAGCTCTCTGTGAATCTGCAGCAGCTGCGCTTGGCGTCTCCTCTCCTCTCGCTTCTCTCCTCCTCCCGTCTCTCGTCCCCTCTCCTCGTGGCCGTCTTCGTCCCCTCTCTCTTCACCGCCAGGCGAGCTCAGGCGTCGGACTCGCTGGCCCACATTGACTCCTAGGAGCTCCGGGCTTCGCGGCGAGGGGGAGCGAGCGCGAGGTGTGGGGCTAGGCGAGCGCAAGGGTGAAGAAGGGAAGATAAAGGTTTGACCCAAGCCACGAGGGCTTGTCTAAAAGGAAAAAATACAAAATAAAACAACATGGGATTTACTAACAGGAGATGTCAAACAATATGAGCTGTACAATTTATAAAAGATAAATAATCTAAGCAGTTTCTATTTCGCATTCCCATACTGAACTACAACAAGTGGAAATTGTGGCATCAAGGTAAAACCTAGTGTAGTTTCAGTGAGCTAATTAAATTAATCTCAGTTGCATACCACTATTATCTATCTTACTGGCATTAGCTTTCAAGGTGTTTTACTGTTGCTCTAGTGCTTTTGTCTAGACAATAATCTACTAGAAAAAGCTGGAAAATACATGAACAGTCTCTTCAGATTTTGGTGGATGTGATGAACAGGCTACCTGTGGACTCGTTGGGCTGTAGAGACCTCCTCCCAGTAACTGGCAGTAGGTGCTCCGATCTGGAACTGGCAGCACAGGTCGGGCAGCTGGTGTGATTCGGGCTCGAGAGCTGGCACTAGAGGAGCCTGGCTGGGTGTGAAACTGATTACCACTGTGGAGATGTGATGTGGAGAGACGATAAGAGAGGGTTTATTTTTAGGTTAATGTGCTTCAATAGGTTGTAATTATATTAGTGACTAAATAGGACACATCAGTGAAACCTAGACTTGAAATAAAGAGGACATTCACTGACGGCATGCCCATTAAGTATGTGTCCCTTAAAGTTATTAATTGCTCTCTAATGGAGTACAAACAAAAAAAGAAATCCTGTTGGTCTGGTTTAACGGCTACATCAGCAGCTAAATATGTTTAAAGTATACAATTCCCATGCGAAAACGTTCTGGGAAATCTGTGTATTCTCTCAACTGTTAAAAGCAAATGAGACTTTTGAGAAATCCCATACCTGTTCATGACTCCGTTTAGGTTCAGGGCAGAGGCTGCCATCCCCGCGGCCAAGCCAGGGGCTTTGAGTGCTGGGTACACATCTGACAAGCTCCCCTGAAGCTGCAGGGAGGTCTGGAGATCAGCTTTCAGTGGTTCCTCTGCATATAATCACAGAAAAATCTGTACCCAGCGCTAAAAAAAAAGTCAAGAGAAGTTTGTTTTAGTATGTCAAAGCCCTGTTATGACTAAATATCAAAATAACAAACAGTCTTTAACATAATCCTTTGTACATAAAAGTCCCTTTCAAACACTGGGCCTCCGGTTTTCCATTAGTAACTGTGTGATGGACAAAAAGCATAAAACAGAGAGAAAGTGAAGCAGATAAATGAAGGATAAATGCTGCAAGATAAAACATTTCAGTCACTGGATAAAATTTGCAGTTTTGGCTGTCAATGTTACAAAAATGCAGAGATTTTTATGGTGCTCATTTCAAAATTTGAAAAGCCAATTTATTCCAGAGTTCACAGCTCATCCATCAGGGCACTGATCTTTTTTACACCAGGTTTTCGTGCTACCGTATACAACTTTGTTATAAAAGGACCGGTGCCACAACTGCCAAAATTCCTCCCAATCAATCTCTCACTATTGTTTTGCTCTTCTCGGTGCTGCAGCACTTACACTTATTTGAGAAATGAGCTGCAGTCTAAACATGACATGACATTCCTTCAGGGGAGAGGCCTGCAGAAAAATTGCTGAACTGAGGAGACATATAAACCAGCCAACGTGGGAGAGTGAGAAATTATAGTTAAAATGATGGTGTCAGTGTTACAATCCAAAACACTTGTGCATAGTCCCCTTATTATCTGACAGTAATTAATTAAAGGTGTTCCAGAGTTCAGTTCCTCTTCTTTTTAAAATGATTTATAAAGAATCATATTATTTTAAACTAACTGTTAGAAACATGTTATTGTAAATAAATCAATATTCTACTGCTGATTCTTCTCAGCCTATTTAAATCCCATTATCATGATGTGACACACAGAAATGTGCTGTCACCGATTAGTACTTCTCTTTTTGCAGTGGTATTGGTTTTTGGTCCTGCACTCTGATTGGCCAAATTCAAAAAATAATAAAAACATTACAATATTGCAGAAACTGTGTATCTTCTGGTTTATTTTGATTTATTTTTTTGCATAAAAAATAAATGTTAGATTTGTATACAAATTCTTTATTTTATTTCTAATGTAAAAATCATCTTACAAAGCCAACTACTGACTTAGCATTTATTAACTCACAGTTAACCTTGAACTCAAGAACAGAATAGGCTTTCTATTATATAATCTATTGTTTCAGTCACATACTCCTCAATGCATGCAGTTAAGCTGCATAACAGCTTGTAGTTCCATGTCCCGCAGTGGAAAAAAAGCCATGCAAATACTGTGCAAAAGAAGTGTTTGATTTGGAGTGGTCAACTGCGCAGCGCTTTCAAAAACGTCTAATTTCTCAGTGGCTCCTACTTTGTTTCAATTTGATTCAACATCATACTTTAAATTTCAAATGCTCAGCTTCAAGCGAGACTGATAAATGAGTGTAGATATTAAGTGTTTTTCCTTCTGCAGCTGAGCAAGATATTTTAGCAACAGTGAAATGGAATGTGGTCAGCCCAGGTAACATAGCTTAAAAGAGACAGAAACACACTGTATATTTTTCACACCAAACAACTAGTTTGCAGGTAAGAACACCCAGCTGAAGCCTGTATCTCTAACAATCTAGAGCTTTTCAAATCTTTTCAGTCAAGTTGGCTTCTCCCAAGCATAACAGGATTCTTGTTCTCGCCACCTTGCCAAAAACTGCCTTGGCATGAGTTTTGATTCCTGGTAAGTTAGACAGCAGTTTATGAACCAGGGGGTAAAGATGGGATTTCCTCGTTGGGTTGTGACGCAGTTAGATAGAGGCAGAAAACAATCTGAATGTCTCGCCTCTCGAGTACTTCACAAAAACCACCACTCCTACTTTTTCACACTGTTTAATCACTTGTCTGTGCTTTAGTCTTAGTGGAAGCAACACAAAGGCCCACAGGGGATGAGGGAAGTCTGAGAGGGAGACACGGAGACAGTGCAGGATTGAAAGGGGGGAAAGAGAGGTGCTCACAGGCTATTTTGGTTGTCTTTTCTGAACCTCTCATGCAGAAGTAGGGGATTTACTTTCCATGAAACAGCTCGGAGTGAGTAATGAAAAGGCACTGGGCACCAGAAACTATTTTCACACTTGCAGATGTGTAGCTGAAACCCAAAAATCTATCTCCATCTCAGGACAACTCAAAATGTTTTGAATATTTAGCTTCGTGGGGTTTGTTGCCCCACTTGGACCATTTAAATTTAGACTGTTACTAAGAGAGAAATTAAAAAGTCTTAAACAACTGACTGACCGCTTCATAAAGTGGATCAAGGTGCTTCAAATGAGATCAGTCAGATCATATATAAAGAAAAATGCATCTATTGTGCCACGATGGCCTAAAAAAAGGGGCAGGGCATTTCCTGAAAGACAACATTCAACAGAAGAGAAATGAATTTGACAGCTACACTACAACATACTTTATTTCTTTAAACAAACCCTGTTGTCAATACACTCGCATTACCACACTTAAACCACTTCAGAGTGTTGTCAGTGCTTTAGCACAGCCTAATGTCTCACACACACACACACTGAGTGGGACTGCGCGAGCATTCAAACTGTCCGCTTGCCTACACAAGTGGGCAATAAACCTACATGCAATACACTAATAAAAAGGCAGCTGAAGGGAAAAAAAAGTGTGGAACATGATGATGATGACGATGAACACTCCTTGGAATTTACAAGCAGATATTATCAGGATGGGTTTAACAAAGGTAAAAAGATGATATATTACAGTGACATCTGTTTCTTTGTGAGCTTTGCAGTGTTTACCCTTTTAAAACCTCTCTTTGGGTATTAGGATATTCTGGGCAATGTTACACTTCTACAGTTTATAGTAACTTTGAATGTTTATGTGACTGGTTTAAAAGGATTAAGCAGTACATAAGCAGCTTCTCTTTACAATACATCAACAGATAGATGGGTTTTCTAAATAAAACTGCACATATAACGATAGATGAGAGTGTCCATATCACACACTCCTAGCAGATGGAACACGCAGAGCTCAGTATCTCATTTTCAAAGGGCTTGAGTCAGAAAAATTATAAATAAACTGAGCTCCAGTGATCAGCAATTGTTCTAAAAATGAGGTATTTCTTAAAATTTAACTTTTGCTACCAGCTTCTCCAGTATGCTGATTTGCTATTTTACTGTTACACGTTAAAGATAAGGGAATATGTGGGATTTTGGACTCTTGGGTGGGACAAAACAATCATTTATTTACACCAAGCAAATATTCAAGGGAAGGCAGACAGATTAATCAGTAATGAAATAAACGGTATAATCTAATGCTATTATTTATCTCGTAATATCTACTATTATACAAGCTATTGGGTTATATAGCCGCTCAAATTATGGATCTGCGTACAAATTGATAAAATTATTTATATAAGGGAATTTATTTATTTTTTAATCTGTCTGCTCTAGATTTATTTTAGAAGCAAAAGTTAATGACATTTAAAGGTTGGCCTATGTAAGGCACAGAAATGTGTATATAAAGACTTTAGAATTTTGTCTATTTAAAAAATGACTTTAACCACTTTTAAAGTCAGTGGCTGTATTTCAGTTTTCCATGAATGGTTACCTCTTGCAGTCATTGAAGGCTAGTCCAAAGCGATTAGATAAGGTATTTGCAATGATTCAGCTTTGATAATTGGGTCCATTTCTGGATTCAGCTCCCACAAAATGTTCTAAAACTCCAGGTTTGAAAACTCAACTTTAGCCTGCACGACGCTGCATAAAACACAAAATAAGGGCAAAGAAAGAAGAAAGCTTCCCCACGTTGGCTTGGCCTCTCAGCCCACCAAAGAGGATGCTACCTCTCCGTACCGAGGTGCTGGTATTAAACTGTAATAAAGCTACATCCAGTCACGGTGCTGCTGTGATGGAGGTCATGCCGGTGTTATCTTACCTCAGCCCCGTCCTCTCCAAAGCTGCTGCGGGACGCTTTAATCAGTCTGTGATATTACGGTCATCTCCAGCAGCAATATCTCGATGATGAGTCTTCGCTGTCTCTGAGTGTGACAATCGCAACAGCAAACGCACAAAGGCAGCACCAGTCTCTACTCCTGTCTCGTGCGGTTTGACTTTTTTTCCATGAACCAACTTCGACGCAAACGCCTTTTCACCAAAAAAAAAACAAATTAAAAAAACCCTCTTCAACAGAAGAAAAAAACTTTAAATGTCCTTTTCTTCTGTGAGCATCTGGTTGTTGGTGAAGAAGACTTTAAAGCATTTCAGAGTCCAGTTGAATTCCCGTCACGGCTTTGCTCTCAGGATAAGCACTTTCTGGTGAGGTTTCTGTTGTCATGTGTTGCTCGCTGCTCGTAGTAAAGCGCTGTTTGTCTGAGTGCTTGAAGCCGGAAGCAACCACGGAGTATCGCTCTCTCCCCCCTCTCTCTCTCTCCCTCTCTCTCTCTCTCTCTCTCTCTCGGTTCACTGCAGGGCTAAAAACTGAAAAGCCGAACGCGAGCCGTGTTCTCTCGCTTTGTGGACGCACGTGCACTCCTGCGGGGAAACCCTCGTATAAATACTCACAAGCGCGCGTGCTGAAAGTTAATTAAAAGTAGCAGTAGCGGTGGATTTGAGTTAAAAGTGAGATACTGCTGACACCGCGGCTGTCGTCGTTATCTTGTAGGTTCTTCCATCTAATTCAAATTAGCTTTATTTGGCTTGACAGTGATTAAGGATATGCATGACTGCGCAAGCAAAGCAGGTAGCCTGCAGTATTTAGGAATCCAGTGTTCTGTGGTTATTACAGCAGGAAATATTGTTAGTGAAATGTGTAGGCTAGCTAAAATTAGCTGCAGTTCACAGACAGAATTACCCTGATCAGAGTGTAGTATTATTATAATTTAGTGTTACTACCCGTTTTTTACGAAACTATGGTAATGATACTTTATTAGAGCTGGGCACTTTATTAGGTTGTAAACCCTTAGAATTGCCTTCAGAACTGCCTCATTTCTTCATAGCAAAGATGCAACAGTGTTCTGTCAAGTCAAGTCAAGTATTTATTTATT